CTCCACGCCAGAAGTCGCATCGAGCAAGGTTAGCGTTCTCTCTCTTCGTACTGTATTTTGTCATATTTTTGCGTTTTTTTTAAAAAAATACATACGGTTCAGAACTGATTAACTGTAATTACATTGAACCTTATGGGGAAATTTGATTCGGGTCGTGACCAGTATAATATATAATAATATATAATATATATAATGGCTTTGCTTCATTCTGGTGCGTGCATGTATGTATAAAAATACACACAGACATAAAATAGCTTTACTTGAATCTGCTATATGTCTCTCGGAATATAAATAATATATTATTATATAATGTATAACACATAACAACATATAATATATATAATGGCTTTGCTTCATTCTGGTGTGTGCACGTATGTATATAAATACACACACATTAATGGCTTTAATTGATTTTGGGTGTGTGTGTGTATGTGTGTGTGTAGATATATATAGATATATGTATGTATACGTATGTCTCTGTGTGTGTGTCTATATATGTATCTACACACACAGATGTTTATAGAATATATTTCTTGCATTCATATACCCCAATGTTCTCTGGAAGCCCAAATCAGCTTCCACAAAGGTTCCTCTTTTATCCCCACAATCACCGCTTTGTGAAATGGCTCGAAGAGAACAGCCAGTTGACAACCACCCCGTGGGATTTCGAATCCAGAGTCAGTACTTAAACACCACGCACACACACACACAAAAAGTCTTTTACCTGGTCATGCTCGATATTTTCAAGCAAGAGGTTATTGTTGAAATCTGATACAGAAAAGAATAAAATCAAAGTGTTAGTGCTGGAGTTGTTTTATGACTGCAGCTACATTATGCTCAAACAGAAATCCACTTAGCTTAGTGCGACACTTTAATTGTACTTCACTATGGTTTGTTTAAACATGGCTTGTTGAAAAAGCGATTGGGTTTGAGTTCCCTTCATACATTAAGCTATAAAACAAGGGAAACATAGGTGTCCAGATGGAGCCATATAGGTGCTGTGCAACATCGTACGAATGTGTTGTCTCTGACATCTCTATACAATTACCTCACTGTGCCATTCACACAATAATGTCATGACACACATCATTTTGACATCTTCACTGCTCGTTATGGATGCGTAGAAAATAAAACAATACAGTTGTACTTGTTGGGTGAGCTCATTCAGGAAGTACAGAAAATGCATTTAAATTTTCAACGTTAGGAGAAACTTCTTAACGTTAAGTCCAACATCTACAGGTGAGGGCCAGCCTTCTGTGGCTGGAGAGAAAAGGCCACACGGCCACCTTAAAGCTCTAAGGAACCAAAAGTTGGATTAGATGATTTCCAAACTCTCTTCCCACTGTATAATTCCAAAAAAAATCTTCCTGAAAACAGTTGGAATAAAAACAGACGAGGGAAAGATTCATTGAAGCATTTCTGCACACCTGTCCAAAAAGAAAGAACTTACCAAGTGAGGGTGGAGATCCAGCTGATCAAAGGAATCTGAGGTGAAGACCTCCTCTTGAATTTGTTTCACGACAGTTCTGCGCAAGGAGCAAATCAACCAAGGAATCAATGAAAAGCTGGCGTAAGGCAGAACTGGAAAATGTGGGGATCTTCAGCCGTTACGCGTACACAGTTCCCAGCTTTGCTCCCCATGGCTCATGCTGATCGTTGTAGGGAATGGTAGAGATGAGCAAACTCAATGACTTGGGAATGGAACATTCTGAAAAATTCTGGAACATTCCATTTTCTATCCAGGGAGGTTGGCATATCGCTATTTAGCAACATCTGAAGGAGTACAGGATGTCTACCACTGTTCTGGGGTATGGTGGGAAATTAACATGGTGGTTCTCAAAGCTATGGTGACCACCCTAGATTCCCAGGACCCTTGGTTGCCCTTACAAGCTCTTCAAATGTTCCTGCACAGTTGCCTTGGCCAACCAGTCCAAACAGAGCTGGCCCATTCCCAACCACCAATCAACCGATACTTCCCAAGAAGCATCTAATCACTAACCAAACTCACAGAATCCAACTTCCACACAGACCACAAATCCTATCAGGTGAACCCTACTTCTACACTGCTGCACTGAGGAAGCCTTGATGAAGTGTCTCCAAAAAACGTAAGCTCTCCTTTGGAACGGAGTTAAGCTAAACTTGGAGAACCGCAACGAAAAGTCTGTATGCGCTTTCAGATCAGCAACGAAGCAGTCAAAGGCAGAATAAAAGCAACAGTGAAGATGTTAAAAAATATCCCACCGGTGCATAAATGAATTACTGTACATTTTTAGGGAGACCCACAGAATAATAATGTCTTTCCCTAGTGCTGAAAGGACAGCGCCAAGCAGACCTCACTTGGAAGGACATTGGCCCAATGGAAAATATAACGAAGAGGCATTCCTTGAGACCCTTTGTCTCAATCCCCAAAGAGCTCTATAAAGAAAACTTGGGATGAAACCTTTCACCAACATCTCCATTACCAGCCACTCTTTCTGTTGATTTATCTACTTATGAGAGCTTATACATGTAGGGAGCCACGGAAATGACCCTAGAGAAGGCATCCAGAAGCTGTTAGGACAACAGGTACAAGAAGAAGCATGCCTAAAACCCAGGGAGGCAGGAATGTATTAGAAAGAGACTCAGATTGGCTCCCCTCCCCCTTGACTCCCTGGATTATAAGTAGCAAATAAATAATGCAGTTTAGAATGAATCATCTTTTTATTTTATTTCGTTTAGGAAAGAGAAGTTAAGTACCTCTGAATGTCAGGGATTTCTGGATTGTTTTTAAAGAGACTGGAGGTCTTCACAAAGGGCCTCTTGCTGTTGACGTCGCTGTCTCTGGCTTCAGTCAAAAGCTTCTCCGAAGATGATACTGGCCGCCCAGTTCCTTTGCTGCTCTCCCTGGTTTTTTTCCATTGCTTCTTGGAATCAGAAGAGCGCTGCTGTTTTACAGGAGGGGCTTCTTTTGCCCCTTCTAATGTTCTTTTCAAGGCCTGGGGGCAGAAAAGAAAGAGAGGGAGGAAAGACGACTAAAAGGAATGCACCAAGCTACGGATGCATAAATTGCAACCAGTCTTCTTATAATCTCCCATGATGTCGCCTTCATACTGTTCCTCTGACCCAGAAAATCATTTCATCCACTTTAACAACGGTTTGTTTTAAACCCCCCAAGTTCATCCTGTAAGCAACTGGAATCTGAATTAAAAGCTTCGGATGACACCCTAGAGATCACCAAAAGTGATCCAATTTTAATTGGAGAGAAGTGGAACAGAGTGAAACCTGTTAAACCCAGATAAGGTGGGTTTAATACATTTTAATAATGTTAGAAGTGAAGATGGGCATTCACATAGCTGGGAAAGGGGAGGCAAATGAGAAAACGTGCATGACATCATCGCACAGATGTTGCAATGTATGAGTCAGGCATTGGGAGTCTTCGTTTAGCGACTGCCTTGTTTAGCAACCATTCACATTATAACGGTGATGGAAAAGTAATTTTGCAACCAATCCTTGCATGTACAACCTTCACAGCTCTGTAAAACCAAGGAGAGCGGAAGTAAGATCGTAAAATTGTGATGTTTCACTTAGCTTTGCTTAATGTCTGAGTTGCTGGTCCCCACTGTGGTTGCTAAACGAGGAGTACTTGTATAGCAGTATCTGCATGACGATGTCACCTCACCCATATCGCTATCATTGTAGTTTGCTGGGGGTTCCACTGAACGTAAATTAGTTTTCAGCTTGGCCTCCTCCCATCCTTTTTGAACATGAAGCAGGACATCACTTAAAAATCCAGTTTTTTGGCCCAGAAAAATTGCACACCTCCAGCTTTGCTAGCAAAAGCAGCTTGTTAAAATGAATTGTTCTTCCAATCACAATTCCCAGCTCAGGTGAGATAAACCGGTTGAACAAAACTGGATATGCACTTCGGAGCCCCAGAGGAGAGGGAAAGAGTTTTAATATGAAAATGTTCTGGATATTGTTTAGACCTCTGGGCCCCACGCCGGACCACGTCCAAAGGAGAGTTCAGGATCTGAAATAATCAGATTGGTTGAAATAGCAGCTTTGGGTGAACTAGGTTTGAATCTCTACTCTGGCTCTTTGGTTGGAAAATCACAGAATTAAGGAGCTGGAAGGGATCCCAAAGATCATTGAGGCCACCCCCTGCAATGGGCAGGAAAATCAATTAAATTAAATCAGCTTCCAAAAGTTTACAGTGCAGTCTCCTTAAGAAATGGACACACACACACATACACACACACACCAGGAAGTTTGCAGGCTAACAGTCAGGTGGGGGATCATAAATTCCATTTTGAGACCAGCAAGCAAATCGGATCAAATGCACGTGCCAGCTGCAAATAGTCTTCAAAAAGAAAATGCAAAGCCAGAACCAAACAGGAGCTGTTTTCAGTTGCGTCTGGGGCAAATCTGCGGGATTGCAAACCCATGCACCCCTGCCAAAACGAGCCGGGCTCGCTGGGAAGGATGGGCGTTGCAACCCAGCAAGGCACGTGGGGAAAGCAGTTTCAACGCACCCTTTCTCCGCCAGCCAGCATCTTTCTCTCCCCGCAAGTTGCAACCCGCCTACCTTTTTCCCACGGCCCCATTGTGGGTGGGGGGGTCTCTGCCCGGCAGGGCGGTGGGACCTCGGCAGAGGCAGCGTGCTCACGTTGATCAGCAGTCCTTCATCCGAGGCCATGCTAGCGGGATCCAGCCCGGATAGACAATTCCTGCATGGAAGGCTCGATTTCAGAGTTTGCAAAGAGGCTTTGACGGGCAGCAGCCGCAGCGATTGCTCCGGGAAGGCAGTTGCAAAAAAAGATTCTCGCAGTTGCAAACTTCCAGCAAATCCCTGCCTGCAACCACGTGTGAATGTTACCCCGCGCGAGGACCCCCCATATAGGTGGCTAGTGGGATTCCTTGCTAAATAAAAATCATAAGGGAGGAAATCCAGCCCCTTTGAGCTAGCTGGAAAGAGAAATAAATGCTTTCTTTCCTAACTGGGTTGGGGAGAGGCTGAAGTGGGAGAACTCTGCTTTTATGCTTCTTAATGTCTTGCTTTTAAGCCATAGGAATATTACTGGTTAATTCTTTTTATAATGTCTTTTTAGAATGCTCAGAAAGCAATTGCGCGCTTTTGGGGAAGGGGTTTAGAGGAGCCAGGGAAAGAAGACGAACGTCAAGAGAAAACTGCTTTATTTTAGCCTTTCCAGTCTGGTTCTGGGGGATGTTTCAGAGCTGAAATTGACATACTTGGCCCAGCTGGTCTTTCCCTGGTTGGGGATGAAAACCTCTGAAACCCAAATAAAGTCAGGTATCGGCTCAGTTTTTGAGGTGCCATAAATTAAGTACAGGCACTGGGTTTGCCCAATGCACAAAACTAAAAGGTGGTTTGTTCGTTTGGACTTCTTTAGGCGCCTGTAAGTCTTGGTCCAGCTAACCATGGTTTAGGGTGTGCATGAACAGAAGCAGGAGGACCAGGGTTGTTTTATCTTTAATACAAAGGGGTGGATGCTAGAATGGTTCCACAACAAAGGCCTTGGTGTCTGTGCTTTTAAACTCTTGAGATCTAGACCACAGCTGCAAGAAGAGGATTTCAATTTTTCTATTTTGGGGAGGGCACAGCCTTCTGCAACTTGATGATACGATTACCATGTCCAGGGTCCCCAGCCAAACCCTTGGGAAGACTGGGAATTTTAGTCCCAGCAGATTCTTGGTGGAGAAGACCTGGTTCACAGTGCTAGGAGAGAGGACGGGAGCATACATGGGGATGGGAAAATGCATGGGACTCCACGGTCAGGAGCAACCTATCTCGGAGACGCAGGATGGGAGGGAGAGAGCACGTTGCTTTCACACAGGCAGCGGGAAAGCCACCTTCGGGACTCCCTTCCTCGGGGTCCTTCCTCGCGCCGGCGGGCGGCGGCGCATGCGCGGGGGCG